AACTTCTGATTTTTCAATTTTGTTTCTTTTACAAGAGTGGGACTCTCAATTTTTAAATGATACTAATTTTAAAACATTTTTAAAAAAAGATTCTGTTTTTTTTTTTAAGAGATGGGGGTCTCACTATGTCACCCAGGCTGGTCTTGAACTCCTGGCTTCAAGTGATCCTCCACCTCAGCCCCCCAAAGTGCTGGGATTATAGGCTTGAGCCACCATGCTCAGCCTAAAAACTTTATTTTTTTTTTTTTGAGGAGGAGTCTCACTTTGTTGCCCAGGCTAGAATGGCATCATCACAGCTCACTGTAACCTCAAACTCCTGAGCTCAAGCGATCCTCCTGCCTCAGCCTCCCAAGTAGCTGGGACTACAGGTGGGTGCCACCACGCCCGGCTAAGTTTTGTATTTTTTGTAGAGACGGGCTCTTGCCATGGTGTGCAGGCTTGTCGGACTCTTGGCCTCAAGTGATCCTCCCACTTCGGCCTCCCAAAGTGCTAGGATTAGGGGCGTGAGCCACCAAACCCAGCCAACTTTAAAACACTTGAAAAGACCAAAGGCAAGCATGATCATCGTGAGGGGTCCAATTCTGCCGAAGGGCGGGCAGCTGGTATTGTAGAAAGGCAAGGCTTTCAGGGGGCTGCACCCCTCTGTGGGACAGAGGTTTGAGTCCTCCTCCATTTCTAGCCCCGTCAGGCTGATGCCCTGTCTCGAGGGTTCAAGGTCGTGAGACACCAACAAAAGCACTAAGAATATGGTACACGTAGTGTGGGAGCTGGGGAAAGAGCCCGGGGCTCATCATCCCAGGCTGAAAAATGCCCAGACTCTGCAGAACCCAGAATTCATCATCAGACCGCAGCTGCGTCCCCTGGGGGGCAGGGATGCGGGTGGTCGCAGCCCACCGACCCTTCCACAGCTCCCAGGGCCGCCTGCCCCTCTGCCTCCACACCGGGTACTCGCTGTGCGTGGAAGGCCCTTCCCTCCAGGTGTGGCCTCCGCAGCCCCGGCCCTTTCTGCATTCAGCCGCTCCCTAGTCCTTGGCCACGTCAGTCCATCTGCCCTGCGCCGGCCCCGCACCGACCCACGCGGGCGCGGGCACCTGGCCCACTCCCGGTCCCGCCCCCACATGCCACCACCTACGGGGGTCACCGCCTTCCTGCACCGTCGTGGGGTCCGGGTGGATCCCGTGGACAGGCACCCGCAGGCGCCCCCGGATCACAGCCGAGGGGGGCCGGGCCGGGTTCCGGGGAGGCGGTGGTAGGAGCGGTGGGACCTCGCGGCACCCCCAGGGGCTGCCCGGCGGACGGGGCGCCGGTCCGTGGGGAACCCACGAGGGTCCGGGACACCGCCGTCCCCGCCGCGCGCCTACTCGGACTCCGGCCGGGTGCTCAGCCCCCGCGCTCCGAGACTCGGCGCCGGCGGCCCCGCGTGACCGGAAGTGCCCCCCCGTGGGCGCGCGCGGGGCGGGGCCGGCCGGCGGCACTTCCGGTGCCCACGCGCCGCTGCCGCGCAGCTCCGGGGCCGTCACTTTGTGTAGCGCGGGGCGCGCAGCCGCCCGCAGGCCCCGGCCCCGGCCCCGGAGTTCGGCCCGCGGCTCGGCCGGCGCGGCTCGCGCGGTGAGTGGCCTCGCGGGGCGGGGCGGGAGCGGCGACGCGCGCGGCAGGTGCGGCGGGCCCGGCTCGGGGGGCGGTGGCGGGGCCCGGGCTGCCCCTCGACGCCCGGCGCGGAGGTCCGGGGAGGCCGCGGCGTTCGGCGGGGCCTGGGACTGGCGGAGCTGGAGCCGCGCGGGTCGGTCCTTCCGCGGCAGCGCCTCCGCGCCGCGCCGCCCGTGGACTTCTGCCCGGGCCTGCGCGTTGGGAGCGGGGTCTGATGCCCCCGAGCCGGTCCAGGCAGCCAGCGCCGAGTGGGCGGGCTGCGGAGCACACGCGCGACACTTCGGGAGGTGGCCGTCCCCTCCTCGGCCGCAGGGGCAGGGTCTGGGCCGCGCCGCCCCCGGACACACCCATCCAGGAGGGGCTGTCACCGGGCTCGGTCTCTGCAGGAGGTAGAGGCCCAGTAAACCCCCAGGGGGTAGAGAGATGGCTTGGCTGTCCTCCCAAGAGCCTGCTTTGTGACCTTAGGGTGCTTTGTTTGATCTGCAGATAGAGCCCCTGTGGGCTGCTATGCTGTCTTCTGTGGTCGGTAGGTGGGTAGGGAAACCCATTCCTAGCGTTGGTTGGGGTCTGGACTACCCCATGTGCCAGCCAGGTAGGACAGAGGCTGGCCTTTCGTCAAGGACCCTAGGGGAAGGGGGAAAGGGAGGTTCAGGCACCAGGAGGTGCAGGCCCCTAGCTCTGCCTGTGTGGGGAGACCTTGGCACTTGGTTTGGCTCAACAAGTGTTGGCAGGTCTGGGGAGTTGGCTGGAGTGGTGAGGGGGCAGCCCTCTGAGATCTGGGATGGCCCCCATGGATATACCTGCACCAAGAGCAAATCCAGGAGAGGAGAGGGAGTCAAAGTCCATGGACAGACAGGATTGCAGTGGTCAGGGAAGGAAGTCTCCTTGGAGGACCTGAAGCCCTGAAGGGCCTTGAGGTCAGTGGGGCCACCCAGAGGGAAAGAAGAGGACTAGATACAAGTGCACCCACACATGTCCTCCTACTCCTCTAGGTGGGTTTCCCTGGGTTTGGGACTTTCGTGGAGTGTTTCTAACAGTTTTCAGGCTTTGTCACTTCGTTCTGTCCTTGTCTCCCTTCCTTCTCCTCTTGGAAGCTGTCTTGTCACACTCAGTTCTAAATGTCTGCAGCACCATATCCCGGGGTGCAGGGCCCCGGTGGAAATGAGGGTCTGGGATGACCCAGGGATTTACATTGATGAGGCTGCTTAACCTGACCCCCTGTGGCTTCTGACCTGGAATCGGATGCCAAGGGAGACATGAGCAAAGTAAGTTTCCAGTGGGTTGACAGGTTGGAAAGAGAAGGGAGAGTGTGTGGGTCTGGGGCTGGCAGAGAACCGAGGTCTGAGTTGCAAGAATATAAACTCTAACATGCCCGCTGAAGTCCATTTTTCAAAGTATTCTGTCCTGAACCTTGGGTTGGGGCATATGCGATGTCTGGCTGTGCTTGGCTCTCGGCCTGCTAGGGGACTGCTGTCCTCTGCCGGGGCTAGTCCTCCCCTTCTCTGGTCATTGGTGTGGGTAGACTTCTTGGGAGAAGGGGCTTTACCCTGGGTCCTCTTTGGAGGCAGAGACTCTCCACTGCTTCTGGGGTGAGTTCCAGTTTGAAGGACCCCCCCCAGCAGTGGTCAGCCTGTTCTGGAACACAACGGTAGGGCCAGAATGCTGAGTTTAAAAAATTCCGTTTCTGTCGCATTGACCACAGGCTTTACAGCCATTTCTTCAATAAGTTATGTGAATGCTTGTTATGTGTCTGGCATGGGGGGATTCAGAGATGAGCAAAGGGAGCTCCTGCTGTCCTGGATTTGACTGTACTTAGACAATAAGACAGTCCCATGAGTATATTAAAAAAATGTGGTGGGTGCTGCAAGGGAAGAATACAGGGAACCCTGTGTAATGGGGGTCCAGGGGGCCACCTCCAGAAGGTCCCTGAAGAAGAGGAGAAGAGTTCTGGGAAGGGGGAACGGCACGTGCAGAGGTCCTGAGGTAGGGTGAATATGGGCCACTTTATTCCAAAGGCACGAAGCTCACTTCTTTTGTTGGGTCCTCACGTATGGTGGCCTGGCCTGTGGGCATCTGAAGTTGCTACTCCAGTGGTGGTCAGCCAGGAGATGGCTCTGTGGTGCTTGGCACGGCATCTGGGCTTAGCCTGAATTGGTAGCCTGAGGTCTGCCTGAGAAAAGCCCTAGTCTGGGCTGGGCCTTAGGTGGGTGGTGGTTGGGAAACTACAGCTGAGTGGTCTCAGGTCCCCGAGTGCTGGCAGGGCTGAGTCCTCCTAGAGGTGGCTAGGGTAACATGCGCGCAGCACATGTGTTTCCACGCTTCAGGCATTTCCACACACCAGAGACCGTGGGGGCTTCTGGGAGAGGCTAGAGGCTGGGTGACCTCCTAGGTATCACTGTGACCTGAGGCTTTGGGGCTAGTGATGCTGAAACTAGGATGGGGGCTGGAGGCAGTGAGGGGGGAATGTGTAACGGTCAGGACAGAGGTGGCTTCTGGATGCCAGTGTGTCCCAGCCTCTGAACTTGGGTGGGCCTGCACGAGCACTCACAGTTTCCTGGCTGTTACAGTGTGAATTTTAAAGCAGCTGCTCAAAGCAGTTCAGAAAACAAGCATCTTCTGCTTTAGTAACAGGAAAGTGATGGGTTATAGAGAGCTAAGCACTGAGCAGTTTCCTCGCGTGTGTCCCTGAGAACACCAGGCCGGTGGTCTGCACTGTCCTCACGAGGGGCTCCCGGTCTTGTTGTAGGTGTGCTGTGGCAGATGCTGTCTGCTGGGAGAGCTGGGTGGGCCCCTGCACAGTGTGGCCTGATATTTCAGGATCCCCCTGGGGTTCATGCCCTCACACCCAGGATTCTGGGGTGGGCTTGGCTTGTGTTGGGTATGGCCCCGTTCAGGTCTGTGACACTGATGGTGTGGATCATGTTTATGCCCAGAAAGGAGCCAGAGAAACTGACTTCTCAAAACTGTGGCTCAACCCTGCCCTTGGGACTCCACAGGGGGCTGGTGAAGGACACGCAGCTGGTTGGAGGCTCCAGGGCCTGCAGCCATCCATCCTGCTGTGCCCATGGCCCTGGGCTCCAGGTGGCAGCATGGCTGTGTCTCCCCTGAGGCCCTGCGCTGAGCTGTCTGTGACACTGTTGGGAGAATAGGACCCTGTAGCTTCTGGGGCTTTGGCACTTCAGCCCTTAGGAGTCAAATCCCCACACTTGAAGAAACGTCACAGGGCATGTTCCATCATCTGTGCTGGTCCAGCGAGGAGCCAAAGTCTCCCTGGTGCACTGCAGAGCAAGGGATGAGAGCAGACGGGTTAACGTCTGCTTCTGGCCCCCACTCTCCCCTGTCCCACAGGAAGAAGCCTGACCCACTCGCTTCTCTGGGCCTGTCTTACCAGTGCCACCGCTCCTCTCCCCGCCCCATTGTGCCTTGCAAGTGCCCACAGCCTGGCTGCGCCTAGACCTCTCTTGGGCGTACCACTGGTTTCCTTCTTGTTTTGAGGACCGGGTAAGCTGCTTTTTGTTCTGGGTATCAGGTGGGCTGTTCCTTGTAGGCTGTGCTCACGCCTTTCAGCTAATGGTGGACCACCCTTGGGCTGTGTTGCCCTGACTCAGTGCTCTCGTGGTCCTTGGGGATAAACACTTTGGGATAAATGCCTGATTTACTCCCAGAGAGGGCAGCAGTTCATGCCAGGTATGGAGTTGTTGGTGAGAGAGAGCCGAGACCCACATCCCAGGGGCCCATGGGGAGGGGCTCTCGGGCCACCTTTCTGGGTTCAGAATGTCTTGGTTACTCAGCATAAGTTTGCGGAAAGAGCTGGATCTTCCCTCATTTCTTGCCTTCAACTACATAATGTGGGGAGTAAATCCTCCCCCTCAGAGGCTGGCGGGAGGCCCCGTGAAGGGACCCGTGTGTCGTGCTGTGAGCGGCCTCTCACCCTGTGCCCATTTGTTCCAGGCCCAGCGGAGGCTCTCCCAGGGAGGATGGCAGCCCTTCACACGATGCCGGACTCCCCAACCGCCCAGCTGGAGAGGGTCGAGGACGGGTCAGAGTGTGATGCTGACCAGGAGGAGGAGGAGGACGAAAGGGGGGAAGAGGAGGAGGAAGAGATAGTAGTGGAAGAGGAGGAGGAGGTGGAGGATGTGGCACAGGTAGAGGAGGTGGCAGAGGTGGAGGTGGGGGCAGAGGAGGAGGAGGAGGACGATGATGACGTGGAGGAGGTCCTGGCGGAGGAGCAGAGTCTGGCATTGGGGACCCAGGAGCAACTGAGCCCTGGTGGTGATGCCAAGTCCCCAGTGCTTCAGGAAAAAGGTAAGAGAAAGGAGCCCACCCTCGGGGAGGAGGGGAAGGGGGCGTGTGTGGGCTGGGACAGAGATGGGCCAAGCCAGGAGAGCTCTTGGTCCCGAGAGGGTAGAGCCAGGTGGCAGGGCCGGGTTTGGGAATGAGGGAGTGGTTGAGGCTGCTGACCCTCTTCACTACCTGGGCAGAGGTGGCCAGGGTGAGTGCTAAAGGGCAGCTGGCCCCTAAGAGAGCTTCCCCCCCAGCCCTGCAGGCCTCCCAGCTTCCAGCCACCCCTGGGGATGAGGAGGACCTGGAGGAGGAGGAAGAAGAGGAAGAGGATGATGATGACGAGGATGACTTCCTGACAGCTGCGTCTCAGGTGAGCTGCCCTCTTCTGTTTGGAGCTCAGGTAAGCCAGGCAGGGTTTCCCCAGGGGCCTTGGCACCTGCTGCCCTAGAGACCTCTGTCGGCAGCAGCAGCAACATTGGGCTGCCCAGGCCAGGCTTGGGCTCTGCACTGCGACAGGGCTGCAGGAAGTGGCTCGGCATGCAGCCCTGAGCCCAGGGGATATGCTTCTGTTTTCCTGGGGTCTGACTCTTCCCAGGCCATTGGATTGTCCTGATTGTTTTGGCCACCACCCACTGAACTGCACTGTGCACAGTGACTTCAGAGGCCTGGCTCTCCCCCAGGGTCGGGCTCCCCCCTCAGCTGGAGTACCTGCAACCTGTCGAGGCTCTGGTTTCCTGCTGCCCAGTCAGATTGGGCACCAGTGCCCACGCTCAGCTGGTGCCGCCTGTCCACCCAGGAGTGGGCCCTCACACTGCCGACATGGCCACAGCCTTGGCTTGAGCCAGACTTCGTGACATAGGACGGGCCAGGGCCTGGCTTTGTTGTCTCCTGGCCTCAGTGTGAGTCCTGGCTCTGTCTCGCATGAGCTGGCTTGTCCACCCTCTCTGAGCCTGAGTCCCTGGGATCGGCTGGGATCGGGTCCCTGCTTCCCATGGCTGTGCAAGGCCTGAAAGCCCTCAGTGCTGTCTGGGCATCCGTGTCCCATGAGACCCACATTCCATTCTCACCGGCCGACTATCCCTGGCTTTCCTTGTGGAGGGCTCCCTCGGTCTCTCACCCAGGCAGCTCAGGGCAGTGTCTGGGGCTGTGTTTTCCAGGGGCTGGTGACCTTCGAAGATGTGGCTGTGTACTTCTCCTTGGAAGAGTGGGAAAGGCTGGATGCAGACCAGCGGGGTCTGTACCAGGAAGTCATGGAGGAAAACTATGGGATCCTGGTGTCCTTGGGTAAGGAAAGGGCCTCTTGTCCCTAAGAGGCAGCCTGGTGTGATGGCTGCCAGGGGCTTAGCTGTCTGAGGAGTTTCTCAAACCTCAGGGTCTTGGCAAAGGTGGATGCTGGGGCCAGCCTACCTCCTAGGGAAGCCCTAGGACCACCTGGCTTCTGGGTGGGGTGGGGGATGTCCTGGGACCCCACAGCGGTCCAGCAGTGCCCCGAGCCAGGGGGCAGAGGTGTAGGCATCTCACAGGTGGAGGTGTGTGGGCAGGGGCTGCCGGCTGGTTGGGAAAGGCGCATACAGGAGGGAGTGTGGACCGTTTTGCAGCAGAGTGAGGCGGGGAGGGCTGAGTGCTGGCAGGGCCCTCGGAGCCTCCTGCAGCTGCGTCTCTTCTCCTGGGCAGGGTACCCGATCCCCAAGCCCGATCTGATCTTCCGGCTGGAACAAGGGGAAGAACCGTGGGTCCCAGATAGCCCCCGTCCTGAAGAAGGAGACATCGTCACTGGCGTCTACACAGGTGAGTGTGAGGTGGAATTTCATGGGGTTTATGCTGACTTTTTGCCTTTACCAAGCTCTCTGCAGACCTGGCACCTCTGACAGTCTAAGTGCTGAGGGCCTGGGGTGGGGAGTGGGCTGGCAGAGACATCGAGTGCCGACCTCTGCCCATGCAGCTTGGCTCCTCTTGGTTCCAGCTCCATAGAGGCCCAAGGGCTGGGAGGTCCTTAGAGAACCTAGAGGTTCCTCTTAGGAAACTTAAAAATGATTCTCTGTCCTCACCTTGGAGCCTGTGATGTTTTTTGTATGTGAGGGACCAGTTATCATGTAGTTGGCCCAGATCCTGGCCAGGCCTGAGGCACCTGTGGGCCACTGGTGAGGCCTTGCTGATTCTGCGAGCCCAGCTGGTCCTCTGGCTTCTCTGCCCATTTGGCCATCTCTGCAAGAAGGGTCCCTCTCTGCCTTCCCTGCTCTCCCTGGAAGGCCTGTGGTTGGGGGTCTGACCTAGCTGGGCAGTTTGGGGCCTTCTGGAGAGATCTTGGAGGGATGAGTACGGAAGGCATGTGGGATGGCAAGTTTCCCTGGGAGCGTTGGACCTCGCTCTGGCTCCAACCCTTCAACTCTGTGAGCCTCACTTTCTTTATCTGAAGAATAAAGAATTTGAACTAAACACATAGTTTCCCACCTGAAGGTGTTGGACTCTTGGTTGTGTCGAGGTACTTGGTGGAGTCTGTGCTATTCTCAGGGTTTCAGGAAGTGCCATGGAGGCCCCTGCCCCCATAGGTGCCTGTGGCTTGGGTATGGGGTGACACCAGCCTAGGGAGGGGCAGCTCATAGACGTGTTGTAAAATAAAAATACAGACAAACACCATGCCAGCAACATGCCTACACGTGTAGTCTTTGGGGTATTTTCACGTGCACTTGTGGTCCTCACAACAGCTCCACTGTCGTGGAGGGGGAGGAGGGCTGTCAGTCTGCTTTACAGATGAGGAAATTGGCTTTGACACTGGCTGTTAGGGTGGGTCAGGCCCATTTTCAGTGAGTCTTCCCTGCGTTGCATGATGCCCTTCCTGCCCCAATTCTCCAGATTCTCCGGGACCCTCTTGAAATCTTTCCTGGGCTTCAGAGTCAGGAGGGCTCTGGTTGGCAAGAAACATTGCTGCTGCCTCCAGGATGAGGCTGGGATGTAGGTGCGATGCTCCCTGGAGGAGCTTATCGGGAGGTGTGTCCTATATATGTGCACAGCTCAGAAAAGCCGCCCAGAGGGGAAAGGGACACAGGCCTGCCTTAGCTAGTCCCTTGGTGCGTGGTCTGGATGTACCCTGGCCTTCATGCCTCCCGAAGGGTCCTGGGGTAGAGCCTTTTGCAGGCTTAAGCAGAGGTGGTTTCTTCAGTCCGAGTGACACACACCATGTAACTTGCACATCTGGCTGGGGCTTGAGGACTCCCTGATGGGCTGGCCAGCTGGGCTTGTACCCCCGGCCTGCCCCCATGGTCAGTCATGATGCTCCTCACCCTGACTGTCCGTAGAGCTCTCAGTGGATGCGGGGCCTGGGCACAGTCTTCAGTGTGTCATGAGTTGCGTGGAGGGATTGCAGTGGCAGAGGCTGGGCACAGCTCAGGCACAGTGGAGCCATCTGGGCTTTTCCTTCTCCACTGTGCCTACAGCCTGTCTGCTGAGCTGCCTCTTTGCTCCCACCTCCCCCGTGTTTGTTTCTGCTCAGCTGAGCTGATGGAGAGTGCTGGGTGTGGGCAGGACAGAGGCTCACTGTTCCCAGGCTGACATTTTGTTTCTAGATTGTAGTACTGCAAGACACACGTGTGTTCCTCTCTCCTGCTCCTTGACTAGTTGGGCCACATATGACAGCTGGACTCTGGCACCCCCCCAACATGCCTGCTCCCTCATGAGTGCTACTGGGCACCCTCCTTCCCCCAGCTGTGCTCTCGGCCCACGGCCTCCTGCCTCCAGTGCCCTCGGGCCTCTTCCCACCCAGCCCTTCCCTGCCTGCCTTTCTCCTCCCGGCGTAGGTTGCAGGTCCTACTCCCTTGTGAATGCCCAGTGTGGCTGCCTGGCAGATCCCTGTCCCTGATTGAACCCTGTTTCCTGCTGGCCCCTGACATGCACCGGGGCAGACAACATGGCTGGGGGAGATTGTGCCATAGTGACTGCAGGCCTCACATGGTTGCTTCTCCGTCTGGGCCTGGTGGTCCTACCTTGTGTCCCTGTGGGGCTTCTCCACCCTCTGAGGGGGACCCTCACCACCCCTGGTTTCCCTGCTGCCTGCTGGCTGTTGCTCCCAGCTGCCCTCTCCACCTGGTCCTACTTGTGCATGGGCTCTGGGAAGGCCTGGGTCCTCTCTGTTCTCTCCCGAAGTGACCTCACGCGGGGCTGGGGCTCTAAGTGCCACTTGCACTCCACGCTGCCCATGCCCAGGCTTCTCTCTTGAAGTCTGATCTTGCCTGTCCCATTGTCCATTTGGCATCTTCACTTGGGTGACTAATGAGTATCTCAGTGAACCTGAATCCAAAGTGGAACCACTTCTCCTGCCCTGGCCCTTCCTGCAGGGTCCGAAGTGGGCCCGGCCACATGCCTGTGTGGTCCTTGTCCCTCTGCCTCCCTCGTTCTACCCCTGCCCAGGCTGGCATCAGGCTGCTAGGCATGTGGCCACAGGTGTCCCTATGCTGCCAGCTGCCCTACCCTTCAGGGGTCTCCTTCAACACTTGAACAGAGGCTTTGAGGCCTGCTGCCCCAGGCTGCTCCCATCACCCTCAGCCCTTCAGGGCTCAGCTCCACTGACAGCCTTTCTCTGCAAGCTCCTGCCTGCCTCAGGTCCTTTGTACCTGCTTCTCCTCTGCCAGGGACTTGAATGCGGCTCAGTTCTCAGGTCCCCCGTGCCTCTTGTGTTCTCTGACCTCCTTGACTTTAAGCCCCCAGCCCCCATCACTCCAGGACGTTGGCAGCATTCGTAGCTCTCAGCACAGCCTGGAGTGAGCCTGCCTAGGTGTTTGCTGCTTCTCTGTAAGAGACGGCGCCATATGCTGTTCTCCCCTGTGTGTCCACAGCGCTCAGGACATGTGTGGTGAGTCAGATGGCAGCTTGCGGCAGCCTCCGGTGCTGTGCTGGCCAGAGGCAGAGCCTGGTGTGGGGGTGGCTCCCAGAGGGGCAGCTGGCGGCCCCCACCCCTTGGCTGCTGCTTCCTGAAAGTGGAGGATATAAGAGAGATGACATGCAGAATTAAACCAGCTTAAACATTACACAGGAAAGGAGATGGATAAAGTTTAAAAGCATCAAGAGATAAGGACACATTGAGGTGAGAGAATCTGATGGTCAGTAAGAAAGCGTAGTCCGTGGCACTGGAGAGGAGCTCAGAGCATCACCTGCGGAGCTCGCAGGCCCCTCGCATGGCCCACCCGCTGTCCATAGCTGCTTGCAGGCACAGGCTGCACCAGCTCTGGTGGTTTCCACCTCCCAGAGCCTGTGAGGCACCTGCGCTGGGCCTGACTTCCCACCAGGGAAGTCTCGGAGGACCTGTCTGTAGTGTGAGGCTTCCCTTTGCTTTGCCGTGCCCTGCCAGGGACACTGGATGTCACTGAACTTCTCTAGTCCCAGCCAAGGGACAAGGGGCTCAGCTCCTGTCTTGCCTTAGACGCCTGGGCTGGGGGCAGGTGGAAGGGATGGAGTGAGGAGACCCCTGGCAGAGGAGGGGATTCTTGAGTGCCAGGAGCAAAGGGCCGGGTCAGGTTTCAGAGGAGATGAGATGTGGGAGGAGAACAGGTGGCTTCCCTTGGCCTGGGAGTGCTTTGGTCTTCCAAAATTGCATGTAAGGAAGTGCCAGGCCTTGGATTCTTCTTTAATACTTAGTCCTTGGCATTACAGCCCCATGTTACACATGAGGCGATTGAGGCCAGAGAGGCTGCTGGCTTTTCTGAGGTGACCCGCCTGTAATAAGGGGCAGCCTCAGTGTCTGTCCTCAGAGGAGTCCCCCTCCTCGCAGACTGGTCAGCCTGGCCAGGGCGAGGGACAGATCCCAGTGCAGAAACTGGCCATGCCTGGGAGCCGCCGCTTCCCCCGCACTGGAACACAGACGTGCTGGCCAGTGCTAGCCCATCTCCCTGGCAGCCCTTAGTGGGAAGGGAGGGCCACTAATGCCTGCATATTTGGGCACTCACCCTTGTCCGCCTCCTCCGCTGTGGCTGTCCCCAGTGAGGGAGGGGCTCTCCCTGAGCCCATCTTGAGTTTCTGTGTCTGGGTGGAGGAAATTTTGTGGTGTGGGGAGGCATAGGTGTAGGGAGGGCTGGGAGCAGGTGTCGGCTCTACACAGGGAACCGACTCCAGGGCCTGCATTGCCAGAGGGAGAGAAATGGAACCGTTCAGTCAGAGTAAACCCACTACTCCGACTCACTGTGAGGCCTGGGTCAGGTTGGGCCTGGAAAGCAGGTCTCCATGTTCCCAGATGGACAGAGGTTGCTCAGGGGTGGGAGTGGTAGACAGTGGTGGCACGGTGCTCAGGTTGATGTGTTTGGGGTGAGCTGAGCAGCCCTTGGCCACCTCTGCAGCAGGTCAGGGGACAGAGGGACTGTGACTCTTGTACCAGGCATGTGGGCTCAGGGCCACCCTCTTCCCCATGGACCTTTTATTAGTGCCCTATATGGGTCCCTGTCCTGGACCTGGGGCAGGGCACTTACTGGAGATGTCTGTGGGGGAGCTCTGCTGAAGGGGACATTGGTTGGCCCTTGGGATTATCACCAGCCTCCTGCACGAGGGCTGGGAGCAGAAGCTTGGGAGCCCGATGTTCTGTTTATGGGATTCTGGGTAAACTTACGATGTTTGTGAAGCAGAGGACCCCCCCTCTTCCCATATTCAGGGATCTCTGTGCATCCAGGGCCCCCTTACAGAGCTTCAACTGCACCAACCACTGGTGGTGACCACGAAGGCCCACACATGAGCTGGAGGATGGCTCCAGCCCAGTGGCACAGAGCTGGTTAGTGGCCTGTCCAGGGTCAGGGAGTAGGGCTCAGCCTCACAGAGCAAAGGCCTCACATGGGCATCTGCAACAGCTTGTGCCTGATGGGAGAGCTCAATATTTGAGGGGCGGCCTGAGTGATGACCAAAGGAACACTAGGAAGCCTCAGACAGTCTACAGTGACACATGGCAGTGGGTGCCATCTAATTCCAGAAACAATAGTAATACTTCTGTAGCACCTCTGTAGGTGCTTTACGGCTATTCACTTATTTAATCCTTGCAACAGTCCCACAAAGTGGGATTTCAGGTGCTATTATAAACCCATTTTACATACAGGAAAACATTAAATGACTTGCCCGGGGTCCTGCATCCAGTAAGTGGTGGAAGTGGGATTCAGACCAGGCAGAGGCTGTGCCCTTAGGCTACCTTTCAAGACCCAGCTGAGGGAGAGAGGGGATCCGATCCCTGGGTCTGGCTCATGCAGTCCTTGTAAGACTGAGCAGATTTGGGGCTTCAGCCCCATGGGAGAATTACTTTGGTGGAGTGCAGTGGGATAGTGAGCCCACATGGAAAACTCAGTAGTAAGATTTGCAGGGGAAACCTCTAAAGGCCATCAACCCCATCAGACATTATTCACATTAGGAAGCAGCTGTGACCAGATGTTGCCATTTGTGGAGCAATGTGGAAAAGATCGTTAGTGATGACTGACGTCCGAGGTCTTTAATTCATTCCCTTGGCACCCCAACCTGCTGAAGTGGTCTTTGTTTGGATACCCCCTCTGCCAGCTCCTATCACCTGCCCCTACATGGTGGATCTCACTGACCCCAGTTCAGGACACAGGCTGTGAAGGTGTTCTTGTGGCCAAGTCCTGGTAGATTCTCCCTCCCCAGACAGCAGAGCCTCTGATGTCCTTCTGCCTTTTATCCATAGCTCCACGTGGTCTCTTGGGATCTTCCCAGAGGCCTAGCTAGTCATTGCCTGAGGCCAGTCTCTAGGAGCAAATGTTAGGTGCAAGGGAGATGAAATGCCAGCTTCCATTAGGGGTCCACCTCTCCTATCCCCCCCACTCCCCTGTAGTTCTGGCTGAAGCAGTTGCGTCTGACCCTCAGGGCTGCTGTTGTAGGGCTGCCCCACTACGCTCCTGGTCGCTGACAAGTGGAGCTGATGAGCCCGCACTTGGATCCAAAAAGGGGTTTTGGATCTGAGAGCCAGAAGACTCCCTCGGAACCCTGTCCCTGGAGGAACTGTGGGGAACATGGGACATCCCCACTCCAGAGCCAAGAGCCTGGCCCACTTCGGCAACAGAAAACAGAAGGACAGAGCCTGGCCTCTGGGCAGGCTGGCTCCCACCCAGCAGGAAGCCTGGCTACTTCCTGAGATCTACCATCACGATGCAGCCAGGCCTTACTTCCCAGGGGCTGGGATGGCTTTCCTCACTTTCCCTCAGTGTCAGCAGTGGCCTTTGTCACCTTGCTGCACATTTAGGTGCAGCCCCACACTTGTCCCAGTTGGAAAAGTGGCCATGCCAGCTCCGGAGCTAGTGGTCAGGTCCCCCCAGGTCCAGGATCAGTCCACTCTACAGAGCCAGTGGGGGTGGGGGCTCCCCTCCCCGGGCTAGAGGGCTTTTCCGCTGCTCATTGGCTCCAGGGAAAGGGCATGGAGGAGTCATGGAGACCTGACCCCCCCTCCCAGCCCTGGGCCGCTGAGACTGCTGCCTGCGGGGCCCTCTTGGCCTGGGTGTCCAGTTCTTTGAGGCTTACTAATCCAGCAGGTGGTCGTTGATCCTTCGCTGGGTCCTGAGGTGTACACAGGCCACTAAGAAACCTACATGTTCCTCAACTTGAATTCCCCCTGCCACGGGGGTCTCTAATTAACAGCTACTCAAGACCCCATTTGAGCCTAAGGGTAAGATCCTATTTTGATCTCTCCATGAGCCCATGAACACAAATTACCTGCCCCTCCACCAACTCCTCCTTGACCCCTGGGGTGCTCTATTCTTCCCTTATTTGGGGAGAGGTGCTGCCAAACAAAGAAGGGCATCCAGTGAGGAGGAACTGGGCTTTTTCTGTGCCTAGAGGGAGCATAGCCACTTCACATCACTCATCCGGTGGCCGTTAGACTCAGCACAGTGACAAGAAACTTTTCTTTTACTTAAAGCTTACGTTTACTGTAATAGTATAATATTATCAATTATAGAAAACTTAGAAAATATGAAAAAATGAAATAACCCACTTTTTTATCCTTTTTTATGATATATTTTTTTTCACAGCTGAGGTCAGATATGTGCCAAGTTCTATGTTTTTGTGAGTGACTCTAGGTCACCATATGGAATGCCATCTGCAGCGCAGGATGTGCTGAGGCCACAGCCTGGTAGGGTGCAGAGTTTGACACCAGGGTCCAGCCCAGGCTCCCTGGGACCTCCTGGGCTCTGACCCTCCCTAAAGCGTAGGACTCAGTGGTCCAGGCTCACCCAGCCAGGTGATGGTTCAAACGGGCCAGAACCATGGTTGTGGATCTCAGGTGCGGTTGGGAGGAGATTCCTACCGAAATTGTGGGAGCCCCAACCTTCCAGATGCTGAGATTCTGAGGTGGGCTATGGCACAGTGCTTGGCCACCATGGACACAGTGCAAAGTGTGCAAGAGATCAGGCACTTTGGAAGACTTGGGCCTGCCGTGGGCCAGGCATCTGCCCTTGTGTTCCCTGTGTGACTTAGTGTCTGCTCCATAAGCATTAGTTCCCTCCTGGGCATATCATGATGGCAGGTATATCAGCACTCTCATTTCATAAACAAGAAAACCCTGCAGACCTTTCTCTATATCTGTGTTCTGTGTTACCCACACAGCCCCCCAGGGGCAGAAGGGAGAGGGGTGTAGCTCAGTGGAGGAGGGAGGAGGGACAGAATGGCTGAAACTCAGAGGTGCCTGGCCTTTTGTTATGGGAAGGTGCCTGCAGCTCACCCAGTCTTAGCCGGCTTGGGTCCATTTCCCAAATGCACAGCAGATCAGAAAATCCAAGCTGAGGGGCAACCTAGCAGGGAAGCCTGGGCCCCAAACGGGAAAGGGATTCAAGAACCTGCGCATACAGTTGCTGCGGGCTGTTCAGGTGCATGGAGAGCCAGGCTGCTGGCCCCTCTGGGTCTCCTTGCCCAGATGAGCCTCTCCTGGTTATGCTCCAGGAGTGGAAGGGAACGCTCTGGCTAATGGTGAAGACCTGGAGGGATGCTGAGCAAAGCTTATGTGCTTACAAAGGCAGGTCCTCAGCAGGTGGGGCCCTGGCTGTGCTGGAGCCTTGAGGACACAGAGCTAGAGCTCTCTAGGAGGTAGGGGCTTCAGGGAGGACTTCCCAAGTGTCTCTCTTTTTCTGGGCATAGGACCCCTGTTATGGGCTTAGCCTTGGGTCTCACAGGAACCTGCAGACAAGCTCACCCACTTCTCAGTGTCCTGTTCATCAGCAGAGTGGCCAGCCCTGGACGGAGCTGGCGATCTGGAAGAAATATTAGAGGAAAGGAGGCTGGTGCGGTGGCTCACTCCTGTAATCCCAGCACTCTGGGAGGCTGAGGCGGGAGGATGGCTTGAGGTCAGGAGTTCTAGCGAGACCTCGTAGCTACAAAAAAAAAAAAAAAATTATCCGGGCATGGTGGCAGGTGCCTGTAGGCCCAGTTACTTGGGAGGCTGAGGCAGGAGGATCACTTGTGCCCAGGAGTTGGAGGTTGCAGTGAGCTATGATATACTGCACTCCAGCCTGGGCAACAGGGTGAGACCCTGCCTCTTAAAACAAACAAAAAAGGAAAAGAACCCTGGCCTTCCCAGGAAGGACACCCCATGTGCATGCCTGCTGTCAGCAAAGTTCCTAACTGGGGGCTACAGCTTTACTGCCCCAGGGGCCGTTCAGGGCTGGGGATGGGCATGTATCCTCTCACTTCTGTGAATGGAAGTGCCCTGTTCACAACTGGAGGGAGGTCCTGTGGTCGCAAAGCTTGTGGTGCAGCCAAAGCTGTGAATTTTGGGGGCAAGAGCCTGACAGGGCCTCCTATCATATTCTCTTACCTCTGTCTTGCGCCTTCAGGAGCCTGGTTCTGGACTGATGACGTGGAGGACCATGAGGAGGAAGATGACGAGGACTTCCTGGCAGAGGTGGCTGAGGAGGAGAACGAGCCCCCGGGGCTGTGGTCAGCGGCCTACGGTGTAGGGGACGTACCTGGGACTTGGGGCCCAGACGACTCAGATTCAGCGCAGACTCCAGAGGGGTGGGGGCTCGACCCAGGCGGCCTTGGGATCCTGGCTGAGGGTTCCGAGGCGAAGCCCTTCCTGCCTGGCCAGGAGCCTGGTGCGAACCTGCTGTCGCCCTGGGCGTTCCCAGCCACGTTGGCTGCCCCTGCCGGCCGGCCAGAGACCACATGCGACGTGTGCGGCAAAGTGTTTCCGCACAGGTCGCGGCTGGCCAAGCACCAGCGCTACCACGCGGCTGTCAAGCCCTTCGGCTGCGACGAGTGTGGCAAGGGCTTCGTGTACCGCTCGCACCTGGCCATCCACCAACGCACGCACACTGGCGAGAAGCCTTTCCCGTGCCCTGACTGCGGCAAGCGCTTCGTCTACAAGTCGCATCTGGTCACGCACCGGCGCATCCACACCGGCGAGCGGCCCTACCGCTGCGCCTTCTGCGGTGCGGGCTTCGGGCGCCGCTCCTACCTGGTGACGCACCAGCGCACGCACACGGGCGAGCGGCCCTACCCGTGCCCGCACTGCGGCCGCAGCTTCAGCCAGAGCTCGGCCCTCGCGCGGCACCAGGCCGTGCACACCGCCGACCGGCCGCACTGCTGCCCCGACTGCGGTCAGGCCTTCCGCCTCCGCGCCGACTTCCAGCGCCACCGACGCGGTGGCGGCTGCGTGGAGCCTGGTGGCGACGGCCCTCGGCGGGAGTCCGGCGAGGCGCCAGCCGCGGCGGGGCCTGAGGAAGCCGAGGCCGGGCCCGATGGGCCTGAGGCGGGCGAGGTGGAAGGAGAGCCCGAGACCGAGGCTGAGGGCGAGGCGAGAGAGGAGGCGGCAGAGGCGCCCACCCCCGGGAGCAAGGAGGAGCCCGAGCCGAACAGGCGGTTCGTCGAGCTGGGCAACGGCCTAGGGGAGGGCGAAGGCCCTTCCTCCCACCCGCTCGGCTTCCACTTTCCTGTGCACCCGAAGTCCTGGCTCCACCCGGACGGCTTCCCGATCCTGGGCCTCCCCGACTTCGGGGAGCGGCTGCCAGGTGACGGGCGACCCTTGCCGGGCCCCCTGGGGGGCCCGCTCTCCTTGGAGGGTGCGGGGCTGGCCTGCGACCCTTTCGGCGCCGGCGGGGCCGTGGGCGGCGGCAGCGGCGGCCTGCGCACTTTCGGGCCTGCCGTCGGGGGTCTGCTGGCAGAGCCGGCGCCCGCCGCGCTGGCGGAAGAGGAGAGTCCGTGGATCTGCTCCGACTGCGGCAAGACGTTTGGGCGCCGCGCCGCGCTGGCCAAGCACCAGCGCTACCACGCGGGCGAGCGGCCACACCGCTGCGCAGACTGCGGCAAGAGCTTTGTCTACGGCTCCCACCTAGCGCGCCACCGGCGCACGCACACGGGTGAGCGGCCCTTCCCGTGCCCCGAGTGCGGCGCGCGCTTCGCCCGCGGCTCCCACCTGGCGGCGCACGTGCGCGGCCACACGGGCGAGAAGCCCTTCGTGTGCGGCGTGTGCGGCGCGGGCTTCAGCCGTCGCGCGCACCTGACGGCGCACGGGCGCGCGCACACGGGCGAGCGGCCCTACGCCTGCGGCGAGTGCGGCCGGCGCTTCGGGCAGAGCGCGGCGCTGACGCGGCACCAGTGGGCGCACGCCGAGGAGAAGCCGCACCGCTGCCCCGACTGCGGCAAGGGCTTCGGCCACAGCTCGGACTTCAAGCGGCACCGGCGCACGCACACGGGCGAGAAGCCCTTCCGCTGCGCCGACTGCGGCCGCGGCTTCGCGCAGCGCTCCAACCTGGCCAAGCACCGGCGCGGCCACACGGGCGAGCGGCCGTTCCCGTGCCCGGAATGCGGCAAACGCTTCTCGCAGCGCTCGGTGCTCGTGACGCACCAGCGCACGCACACGGGCGAGCGGCCCTACGCCTGCGCCAACTGCGGCCGCCGCTTCTCGCAGAGCTCGCACCTGCTCACCCACATGAAGACGCACCGCGGCGCGGCGGGTGCGCCGGGGCAGGCGGCGGCCCCGGCCTCCGCGCCTAAGGTCCAGGCGCCCGCCAAGGGGCCACCGGGCGTGGGCGCGAGCACCGGGCCGGGGGAGCGCGGCAGCACCCTGCTAGAGTTTGCGGGCGGCACGAGCTTCAGCTCCGAGCACCAGGCGGCCTTCGAGGGGCCCTCTGGCGCCTACGAGGAGAGCGTCCTGTGAGGGGCCCGAGGCCCAAGGAAGCGCAGCCCGCTAGGCCACCGGCCCCTCCCCTGGGCGGCTCGGGCGCAGGCTGCTGCGCACCCGCCCCTAGCTCCTCTGGCCTTGGGGTGCTGAGGGTCCCAGTCCTGGGTGCGGTGCCTTCCCTCAGCCCCCGGTGCACCACCCCCGCCCCACGGCCTCGGGTTTTCCTCCCGCTCGGCCCCAGAGAACCGGGCCGCCGCGCCCGAGCTCGGACGGCGGTGTGGGGAGCACTCGGGGAGAAGAGCAGCGCGCGGAGACGGCTAGGGCAGAGGGCGGCCACTCCAACAAAGACTGTGACATCCCGGGTCTGTGCTGTGAAGTAAAGCGGTAGGGATGGCAGGCGATGCTATTTATTTTACTCGGATTCCGATTTGGGTGGCCGGGGGAACAAGTGACATATGAGTCTGTAACTGGGGTTTACAGCGAGGGCGGGGAGCCCTTGCGTCAGGGGAGGGGGGTGCTAGAGGGAAGAGCAACCGGCTGCTCAGGTGGGCCAGCGCCGATGCCTGGGCTGCCGGTGGGTTTGGCTCACGACTTCTTCCCATTCCTCAGTGGGAGACTTCAGGGCCCCTCTGGTCATTTGAGTATATCTGGAAGGTGTTAAGAACTGTGCGCGTGGCTGTGGGGAGCCTTGTAGGTTTCCAAAGGACGGACTTCTGAGCCCTAACCCAGGGGAATGGAGATGCAAATGGGAAAGCCTTTATTCTGACTGGATATTTATTTCCATCTCTTGTATGGCCTGAAGAATCTGGGAGGAGAAAAAGCCAGAAACCAAATTTGTGGCTGGGGCCGATGGGTTGTGGTGTTTGCAGGGTCCCGAGGGAGTTTGAAGCCTTAATCTCTGCAGTTGCTCACTCTCCTCACCCCACCTGAGCACTGAGATCAGCCAGGTGCTAGTCTCAGTGGTTGAGTTTTAGTCTCAGCTTTCTCTCTAAGTCTTTTGGTACTCCTACCTCTGGCAACTGGAGGTGGCACACTCAGACATCTTTGGGGTGCCCTGTGCAGACTCTCAGACCTGGGCTCCCACTTTCAATTCCCTGGGCTGCCACCTCTTCAGCAGGTGGACACATCCAGCCCTGCCCTTCTGAGCCTAACACTCATTTAGCATTAAGTGACTCAAGTTGGTCAAAGGATTTTTCCCTACATCCCTCAGTTAGCGCCCTACGATGTCCACAGGTCTCTTTAACTCTGCTTCTGTCCTTATTCTACACTAGAACAAGTAGTGTTTCTGTTTAGATTCCCATTTCATGGATTGGTCAGTGGAGGCACTCGAGGGCCTGGTGTTTTGCACAGTGGCTGTGTCAGGGGGTGGGTGTGGACCTGAGCCCATGGCTCAATGACAAACCAAGCACTCAACTATGCAAGACTCCTGCCTGGTGGGCACCCCACCCTGCAGACTGGGCCTTTGTGAGCCAACGGGCAGGCAGCTGAGGCTCATGGGAAGCTCCCTTCCCTTCATGCTTTTTGGGCCAGTGTGAGTGGGGCCAGAGAACAGATTTTGATGCAGCTTCATTCCCTTTTAGACCTAGTTCCTTCCATTGTAGTGTAGACATGGCCTTGGGGGCCCAGAGCCAGCAGCAAGGCTGCTAGGGGCCGGGGGCGGGGTAGGAGGCGTGATAGTGGGTGGGAAGAGGGCCTGGGTGGTGGCCGTAAGAATTCACCTGGCTGGGTAAGGTTATGGGGTGGGGTGGTGAGGAGGGCAGGGATCCCAGGGAGGCATTAGGAATGCTAGGTGATGGCCTCTCCGTCCTGGGTTTCTGCTCTTCCTGCAGACAGGAGCCTCAGAAAGGGCCAGGGAAGGTGGGCCGGGGGTGGGGGGCTTGGTGCGTCTCAGTTCTAGCCCCACATGGCCGGTGTCTGGCATTGTCCCCGTCCCTCCTGGGCCAGCTGCTGCTGCCCTGGCCTGCCATTGTTGGCAGGAGGACCTAGCTTTAATAAAGAGTGGAGAAACGAGCATTCCGACTGGATTCCATGTTGTTGCCGCTGTTCGGTGCCCGTCAGGGAGGCTCTGCAAGGCCTCAGGCCCATCTTGTTTCTAAAAATGTTTCTTAGGAGTTTCTCTTTTAAGAAACTAGAATTGGTCCCAGGATGGCCCATGGGAAGTCCGCCCAAGATGAGTTTGTTCCTGTGCCACCTGTGTCCACCATGTCCTACTGCGGGCCTCCATGCTGCCACACACTTGTAATACACATGCCTGTCTTGGGACATAACTGTGTTTAGGATTGTGTTGGCCAACATTCCAGTGATCGAAGTGAGGGGCCAGGTCCCCTTCCTGGTGGTCCAGCCACAGTGTGCCTAGCCCTTTCCTCAGAGGCCCCAGCACCGCATGGGTTTATCCTGCTCCAATACCACGGCAAGGTGCACATCCCAGGGCCCCAAAACACCTTCCTTTAAACTGACTTTCTTATTTTACCACATCTCACCCCATGATTGGATCTGACTCTGCCATTCTTTCCCTGTAGGTTTGAGAAATATGAACTACAAAGTAAATTTTCTCAGCAAATGTGATCTAGAGGCATCAGAACAGAGCAACCTAATGTGTTTCCATTAAAAAAACACAACAGACTTTTGAGTGGCAGATGAGTACTAAGACCTGGTTAAAAAGTGGATGGCCTTGAGGATCTTAAAGTCTATTCAGAAATGCTAAATGATTCCTTGATAGAGCTTACAATTGATTGGCCAAGTACTTTATTTTACCAGACGGGTGGGGGGGAATATCCCCAATCCTATGGTCATAGAAAAAACATAGACAAACTTTATTATCAAGAAGGAAGGAAACCCCAGTGGCCCATGAAACGTGACCTACAAAAGGTGGCACTTACAGGGGCACTGAGACTTTCACCGTCCCTCTCCCCTCTGCCTACCTGTGTTTTCATTTCTCTTTTGCCAGTTTCTCCAATCTCCTTCTTGTCCTGGTTCCTTTTCTCCTGACCTTTTCACTTAATCTTTTCAAACATTTCCTTTTCTTTTTTTCCTTTCTCTAAATGGCAGCATATGGAATGCAGTATTTTGAATTATTTGGTTATATCTATTAAATAAAGGTTTATGATCCTTGCTCATTATTTTTTTCTTGATTATAAAATACATGCTAGTTGTAAAAATTCCAACCCCCTTCCTCCCCTAAAGAGTCACACTACATCTGGCCAGGCATGTTTCTTCTACGTGTGTGGAGATGTTTTAAAACTAGGAACATACCTTACACATTGTCTTGCAACTTTTTTCTTTTAATAATACATCATGGACTTTCTTTCCTACCTAGTAAGAGCTACCTCATTCATTTTAACCACTGTATCATAACATTTCATTCTATGGATGTACTGTAATTTATATAACTACCTGATTCACGTGTATTTGGTTATTCCTGTCTTGTCACTACTACAAACAATGCTGCAGTGTAGATTCTTTTACAAATATCTTTGGGCAGTTATGCAGATTTTTAATACATCTGTTTGTGTAAGATAAAATCTTAGAAGTAGTGTTGCTGAGTCAAAGAGCAAGCATATTTAAGTTTTTGAATATAGCTGAATTGCCACCAAGAAAGGCTAACTGCAGTCCAACAGCACATGCTGCCAGTGCAGCGACAGCGCTGATGGTCACACGGCCATGCCTGTGCTGGGCAGCAACAGTCATGTTGATCTTGTTCTTCATGTTAGAGAGGTGAGTGGCTTGTGTTTCCCTATTTCTTTTTAACATGTAAATAGGTTATTTCAAATACTTGTGATGTTTGCTGAGGTATTTCTGTGGCTGCCGATGTGAAATGGCCTCACTCTGTCCCAGTTAGCTTCTGTCAGATCACGGCACTCTCGGGAGTTCTGTGTTCATACCCTGTTCTTCCTGCTGCAGCTTTTCTCCCAGTTCCAAAGGGGCCCTGAATCAGGCCAGGGGCCAACAGGGGGTCACATTTCCTTCTGTTCATTCGTTGGTTCAGCAAAATCTCTGGGCCCATGCCCTGAGCAGAGTCCCTGGCGTGGGGCTCTGTGATGTGGCCATGCTGTAGGCACACTGTGGGCGTTGTTTAATGGCCTCAATGCCCAAGCCCATTAAAGCATTCTTGTTTTCTAACTCAGTGACTTCGAAAACTTCTGACTAGTGATCCACCATAAGAAATCCATTTTACATAATTGTAACCTAGTGCACGTGTGTGCACACACATGCTTAATGAACCAATCTGCCTCAAGGCCACATGTGGCCCTCCAGATCCCCAAGTGCGGCCACTCGACCGAATCCAAACTTCACAGAACAAGTCCCTTTGTTAAAAGAATTTGTTCTGTACAATTTGGATTCAGTTAAAAGGCCACGTGTGGCTCCAAGGCCGCAGGTTCCCTACCCCTACAACCCCCCTTTTGAGTGGGACCTGCCCTCAGCTCCCGAAAGGGGACTTTCCTGGTGTCCAGCAAAGACAGAGCCTAGGCTGGGACCCCACACCAGGAATAGCTTCTGCCCAGAAGCACCTCTGTCTGAGCTGACCACACCTAAGGAGGTGCAGGCCATGAGGGGGAAGGGTTGCTTGGGGCCAGGAGTTCTAGGCCAGTGTGGGCAACATAGCAATACCCTATTTCTAAAAAAAAAAAAGAAAGAAAAGAATAGTAACTTATGGCCAAATTTGCTTCATCTATACCCCTCATTTCTCCTTTCTCTCCCAGTACCTGGATTATTTTGAGGCAAATTCCAAACATCATATCATTTCATATATCTGTAACTAACAATTTGAATGTGTATCTGTAAAAGGCAGTGATTCTTAAACACAAAACACATCCAAAATTAATAATTGTTTGATATCATTGAGAATTCAGTATGCAGATTCTCCTGATTTTGTGTGTGTGTGTGTGTGTGTGTGTGTGTGTTTTATTATTTATGTTTTTAGAGACAGGGTCTCACTCTGTCACCAGGCTGTAGTGCAGTGGTGCGATCATAGCTCAGTGCAGCCTTGAACTCCTGGGCTCCAGCTCTCTTCCCGCCTCAGCCTTCCTAGTAGCTGGGATTATAGCCATGCACCACTGTGCCGAGCCTGTGTGCATTTTAAGTTTGTTTAAATCAGGATCCAGATAAGGTCCATATGTTTCAATTTGTTATGTCTCTTTAATCTCTTTTAATCTATAGGTAACCCTATAATCCTTTTTCCCCGTTGAAATTTATTGGAGAGACTAGATCCTTTGTTCTGTAGAGGTTCCCACAGTCTGGACTTTGCTGAGTGCAGACTCCTGGTGTCATTAACATGTTCACTTGTTCCTCGTGTTTTTTGAGAAATGATAGACTGAAAGGTTTGATCAACTTTAGGTTTTGCAAAGACTGCTTTGTTGATGGTGTTGTGTACTTTCATCAGGGGCACGTGTATGTCTGGATGTCTCTCTTACTGTGATGTTAGCACCATTGGTGATTATTGCATAGATTTGATAATTCACTAGGGGTTAAAAAACGGTGATATTTTATCACTTCTTTCTCATATATTAGCTGGATTACTTCCATAAATGGAAACTTTCCCTCATCAACTATTTGGTACCTTGAGGTATAGTTTGTATAGAAAGGGCAGGATAGTCCAGGCATGGTGGCTGATGCCTGTAATCCTAGCACTTTGGGAGGCCAAGGCAGGAGGATCGCTCAAGGTCAGGAGTTCAAGACCAGCCTGAGAAAGAGCAAGACCCCATCTCTACAAAAATGGAAAAATTTGGCTGAGTGTGGTGGAACGTGCCTTTAGTCTCCACTATTCAGGAGGCTGAAGCAAGTAGATCACTTGAGCCCGCGAGTTTGAGGTTTCAGTTGAGCTATGATGACGCCACTGCGCTCTAGCCAGGGCAACAGAGCAAGACTCTGTCTCAAACAAAAGCAGGATAAATGCTCGATTCTTTTTCTTTATCAGCTTTCAAAATAATGAGTTCAATCTCCAGCATCCTCCAAGATGTTCAAAGAGTTGATATTTTGAAGATCATTTCAACCCATTGCAGTTACTAACCTTATTATTGCTCACATTGTCCCATTTTTGGCTTTTGGGAACCTCTTGAAGTTGGCTCGTATGCTCTTTTACTCAACACTAATAATCTTTAATAGCTTCCACTTTCTGGAATGACAAGATGTCCCAGGCTCACCTTGCAAATTTACTACCCCAAACCTGTAATCAGCCAATTCTCCAAGGAGCTTCAGTGGGAAATGATATTTAGGCACCACAATTTGGGTGTTAGGGTGCTCAGTGCTACTTGGTTGATTTTCTTTCCCTAAAGAAAAAATAATTTTTCATCTAGAATCCCATGTCCAGCCAAGCTATTCTTCAAGTTATGATGACAAATAATGATTTTTTTTTAGACATACAAGAATTCAGAAAATTTACCATCGATTAATCATTCTTAGGAAGCATGTCAGAAAAGGAAAGAGTCAGCTAAGAAAGAGGAAGATTTCGGGTGTAGGAAATGTTGGAGTCAGCCCAGGAGAAAGAGCTGTCCATGGTGACAGGTATACATCAGTCAAATTTGAGCCAGAGGATGGGCAGCTGCAGGAAGGTGAGGTGAAGTTGGTAGAGTAGAAAATACGACTGAGAGGTTGGACATGGAGGAGCAGAACTGTGGTAAAGGGTAGGTCAGAAGGGAAAAGGGGACCTTGGCTGGGAACAGCCAAACTGAGGGCATTGGGGCCATTAAGTGAGCTTTCTTCAGGCACAAATGAGATCAGGGAGGAACCAGAATCCTGCTCCCCCCGTGAGACACAGCGGGATTGTTGATGCCATTTCCCACGTCTGACAGCCAGAGTGGCCACCACCAGGCTCTGTGCAGGCTTTGCTTTGTAATTTCTTCTTTTAACTTTGAAGTTATATCTTCACTTATCTCTGAACATCCCAAAACACTTATTTAAATTCCTGCCATATTGTTCCATAAACTTAATTTCTATCTGGAGTGAATTTAAGCTTTGATTGGTCAAATTGTTGGTTTTTCTTGACATTAG